TTCTCAGAAGGCGCGGGCCTTATCTATAGATGTGAGGCCGGCGCCTTCTAAGAAGCAGCCTCCTTCTAAGAAGCCCTCCCCCCTCCCTCCACCCCCTTCTGCGCGCCGTCAATATAGAGTTCGTCGCCGACGAAGCAGTCCGCGGCTGCTGGAGGGAGCGGCCTGGCCCAGGCGCCTCCTCCAGCGTCTTCGCGGCCGTGCCCGCGGTCGGGCGCCAAGCCTGCGGGCTCGACGCGCACGGGCCCCCTGCCGCAGCCGAGAGCCCCAACAGGGGGCGCGCGGAAACGGCAGCGGCTTGGGCCGAGGTTGGAGGAGGGAGGAGGGTGGAGGGAGGGAGGACGAGGAGGGCGGAGGGGCGAGGAGGAGGGAGGAGGGTGGAGACAGGAGTTAGCAGCAGAAGGAGGAGGAGGGGAGGAGGAGGAGGAGGAGGAGGAGGAGGAGGAGGAGGAGGAGAGGAGAGGAGGAGAGAGGGAGGAGGGAGGGGGGAGGAACGAAGAGGAGGCGCAGAGGGAGGAGGGCGGAGGAGCACCTCTCGCCGTGCTCCGCGCGCAGGCGCGGCGCCCTGCGAGCCGAGGCCTCGCGGGGACTGCCCGCGCGGTACGGCGCCCCGCCGCGAGGCGCCGCGGGGCGGGCGTCCCGCATGCGCACGGCGCCGCGATGCTGTCCGCCCGCGGCGGCGGCACCACGCCGCGGGCGCTCAGCGCCCGCGGCTCGCCGCGCGAGCGCGCGCCGAGCCTCTTCGCGCAGTCGCCGCGCGGCGGCGCGCCGTGGGCGCCGGCGGGGCCGCTGACGCCGCGGCAGGGGGCGCCGTCGCCGCGGCCCGCGGACTCCGCGCTGGAGACGCCGCGCGAGCTGGAGGCCGTGGAGCTCGCGCGAGAGGCCTTCGTGGAGGACCTGGCCGTTGCGCGATCTGCCCGGCCCTGGTCCCAAGCGTCGGGGTTTTCCGATTGGGGGTTTTCGCCACGGCGAGCGCCTCTTGAGAGTTCTGAGTGCTCCAGACAGGGCCTTCTACATAGGCTCAAGGCACTCCAGGTGAGCGTTGTTATTCCTCTCCGGCGTAGCGCTCGTTACGCAGGCCAGCCCCCCCCGGTAACGCTAATGATTCATGATCGTGCCGGGGGGGCGGGGGGGGCTGCCCCCTCCCCCCCAGCACGCTGGGAGCGGACTCCCTTGAGGTATGGTGCTGTGCTCACAGGCACGGCGTGGTCTGAACGGCGCGCATAGGTGATCACAAACGTGCTGTTGTTGCGCTCGCAGTCGTCATCGTCGTCGTCGTCGTCGTCGTAATCGTAATCGTCATCGTCGTCGTCGTCGTCGTCGTCGTCGTCGTCCGTCCGTCCGTCGTCGTCCGTCCGTCGTCGTCGTCGTCTTCGTCGTCGTCGTCGTCGTCTTCGTTGTTGTCGTCGTCTTCGTTGTCGTCGTCCAATGCAGTTGGCGTTGGCTCAGCTACCGCAGGCTGGTTCGACCACTCTTCCGCAGGTGCAAAGTTCGGTGGTTCTCTCCCTTTCGCTTGGCCGGTGCGCAGCGCGATACAGCCAACGCGCCTAGTAAGGACGCGTGCCTTCTCCAGGGTAACCTTGTTTGTGTCCTTGCCCCTGCGGTCTGTCCGTTTGCCGCTTTCATTGGCCAGCTTTTTGCAAGAAAAAACCAACTTCGGTTTCCACGGGTTTTGCGTTTCGACCACCCGTCCTTAATGCGCGTATCAAGGATGGACCCAAGGCCATGGATAAGATCAAGACTGGGCGGCCCTGCGCCTTCTCCCGCGGGCGCTTCAGTGCGCGCGGGCGCCGTGGTTCACGCGCGCAGCGTGGTGCACACTAGCGCTGCGTTGCTCACGGCTGCTTGCGATGACACAGGCGTTGTGGTGCACGCAAGAGGTGTGGTGCACGCGGGCATTGTGGTGTACACCGACGTTGTGTTGCACGCGCCTATTGTGATGCACGCAAGCGTTGTGGTGTACGCAGGCGTTGTGGTGCACGCGTTGAAAGTCTTCAGGCGTATGGATTTCCATAAGCATTGTTTCAAAACGTACATGTAACGTTCGTTTCCTGTGGAATCCAGAGGCGCACACATTCCCTGAGGGATTCACTTTATCAAACACAAGGTTTTCTGTGGAATCCAGAGTCGTTCCGTTTACCATCATGGTGTTCTTCAAATTCTACATACATATGGGTTCAGTGTAATCCAGAAACGTTTCATTTTCCATAGGGTTTCTTCCAATAGACCTATTGTAGGCAACGCTTCTTTGTATAATCCGATTGTATACAACGGCTGCTGCAGTAGACGCAGGCGTTGCGTTGTGCATGGGCGACGTGGTGCTGCAGTGCAAGCGGCTGATGCGGTGTTCGGAGGCATTGTAATGTGTACAAGTGGCGTTGTGTTGCACGCAGGCATTGGGCACTGTCGTTTACACGGGCGATTGATGCGCCGGTGGCGCGGACGCACCCTGGCGGGCGCACGCCGCGGCCGCTGTTACCCTACCCTCCCGCCCGACCCCCCTCCCCGCCCCACCCCCCGTAGCGGCCTTTATGTGGGAAAGAAAAGCCAATGGGCACCAAGACGGCAACGCATACGAGCGTGATCGAAACGTATACGAAATTAACATGACACGTCTGGGACACGTGTGGGACGCGTATCCGTGTAGCAGGCATGCGTGCGACACGTATGCGGGACGTTCCAGAAACACATGCGACACGTATACACAACGTAGACGAAACGTATACGCAACGATTATGACACGTCTATGATGGCACACGCCCCTCAGGAGTTCTCGAACCTACGATCGGAATTTGTTAAGAATCCTTCATGCATCTTCAGGCATCCTTCATGAAACCCGAAAGGGAATCCAGAGGAATCCCTGGGGAATTCTTCGGGGATCCTTTGGCACATTCAGGAATTTCTCAGGAACACCAGGAATCCTTCAGACATCCAGCAGGAAGCCTTTATGGAATAATGGAATCCTCCGGAAACCCAGCAGAAATCCTCCAGGACCCTTTTCAGGGATCTTCAGGAATCCCAGAGGAATCTTCCGGATTTTTCAGGAATCACGAAGGAAATCCTTAGGAAGCCTGGAGGAAGTCTCCCGCACCTCCAGGAACCATTCAGGATTCTAGAAGGCACCCTCGAGAATACCATAAACAACTGTTCCGAAGTCCTTCGTAGTCTTTCAGGAAATGCAGAACGTCTCAAGAATCCTTCGGAATCTCTGGGGCCCCCCCAGGAATCTTCGATAATCGTTCCGGAATCTTCAGGATTAAAGAGTCTTCAGGAATCTTAAGGGAACCGTCTGGATGCTTTCAGGAGCTTTCATAGATCGCAGCGGAATCCTCAGGCAGCTTTCAGGAACTTTCACGATGTCCTTAGGGATGTATCTGGAAGCCATAGTGGCATCGTCAGAATGCCCTCGGGATGCCGTAGGAATCCTTGTGGAAACGTCCGAGACTTACGGCAATCTCGCACGGAGCTGAGGAGGCGCCTTTAAGAAAACGCTTATGGGGCGCATGCCAAGCGCCCAACGGTACGTAGCGACTTCCAAGCGCTCCAAGCGCTTGGAAACTCAACGGAGAGAGGCTTGCGTGTGGACCATTCCGGTGTTATTGCTGGTTGGGATCTGGACTTTGTAGTTGGGATATGAGCCTTCTAGTTGGGATCCAGACCTTTTATCTTCGCTCCGCAATGCGGACCAGGCTCATATTTGACCCATTGGCAACAGAGGGCTGTCAAATGGCCAGCACGGGCAGTCGTTTTTTTTGGTTAGGGGTCGTTCGTCCAGCAACCAGGACTGGCACCACGACTGGCTCGGCCACGCCCGCTCCCACGGTGCGCTCCTGGAGGGCCTCGTCGACGGCCTCGAGTGGTTCGGCGCCGCCCCGGTCGTGCGCTTCTGCGCGCACTCGTGCGGCGGCCTCGGACTCCCTCGCGCGGCGGGGGACGGGTGAGGCGCGGAGGAGGAGAAGGAAAGAGAGGTGGAGGCGGGCGAGGAGGAGGAGCAGGAGCAGGAGGAGGAGGATGCACAGGAGGAGGAGGAGGAGGACGAGGAACTGTTAGGAACGGGGGCAATGAGGAGGGCGTTGAGGGGGAGTGGGAACGGGGAGGGCGAGGAGGAGGAGGAGGAGGAGGAGGAGGAGGAGGAGGAGGGAGAGGGGGAGGAGGAGGAGGAGGAGGAGGAGGAGGAGGAGGAGGGGGAGGGGGAGGGGGAGGAGGAGGAGGAGGAGGAGGAGGAGGAGGAGGAGAGGAGAGGAGGGGGAGGGGGAGGAGGAGGGAGGAGGAGGAGGAGGAGGAGGAAGAAGGCGGAGGCGGGAAGAGGGGGAGCGGGCGGCGCTGGAGGAGAGGTGGAGAGGAGGGTTGCAGGGATCCTCACATCATCTACCCTGGTCCGCTGGTTCTTGGCCTTGCTCAGTGTGGACTGGTCTGTTCTCTGCTGAATTGCAGAGCAGCGGTCGTGGGAGCACAGGCCGGAGCAAGTTGGTGACGACCCTGGCCGCTTACATCGATTTGTAGTTGGATCGAACTGATCTCATTATCAGATCAGTTTCGGTTTGGCCAGTCCGATTCACTTCTGGTGCCCCGACGACCCGAGGCCTCGGTGACCCGATGCGGCCCGATGCTTGCACGGGCGTCGTTGTGCGTGCTGGCGCGACCCAGCCTGTGCGGTTCCGATGTCGTGCCGGCGCGGTCCGTTCCGACGCGCTCCCACCCGAGGCCAGCTGTTGATGCGAGGTTGCTCGCTTCTGCAGCGGCATTAAGTCGGGCACGTCCCTCTGCAGGGGGAATATTTATTCAGAGTGAGCAAATCAATAGTCGGAGGACGATTGCCTGACTATTTGTTTGACAGTGTTGATTTTTCGGCCAAGCACCCCCCCGTAGGAGGACAGAACGCTCTCAGAGCGTTCCGGAACGCTCTGGCTAAGACGAGGGTAAATCCGTTCCAGGGCGCTCCAAAACGCTCTCAGAGCGTTCCGGAACGCTCTCCGGCGCCCGAGGCATCCGCCAGAGCCAAGGGCGCCTTCTGGAGCGCGAACTCATTCGCGCTTCGCGCTTCGCGGTTCGGCTCCGATTCCTCCTCGTCCTCCTCTTCTCCCCTGGGAGGCGGCGCGATAGCGCGAAAGTATTCGCACTTCGCGCTTCGCACAGCGCGAAGCGCGAAGTTTGGAGCCCTTGCAGAGCCGCCGGATCTCAGAGATTCTCTATCTATCCTCACCCGATGTGATCTCCTCGTCCTGGCTTCGTCTGGCAGACCCTGTGCGGCCGCCCCGGCCCAGGGGTCTCCCCTCGGCGAGCGCTGGGGGGGGGAGGGACCGACCTGGACGGTGTGTTCGGGCGAGTTCCTGGGCCGTTTTCGTGTCGACGTCGTTTTGCAGCAGAAAAGGGTCGAAGATAGAACGAGGAAGACCGAACACAATGCGAGAGCGGAAAACGTTTTGTTCAGGCCGATCCCTGTTGTGGGGGTGAGGGACCTCGTGGGCTGGAGGCGCTCCCGCAGCGGCCCAGGCCGTTTCGGGCGAGCTTGCCACGCCCTGCGCCAGGAGGTGGAGGAGCAGGAGGAGCAGCAGGGGGAGGAGGAGGCGAAGAAGCAGGAGGAGGAGGAGGAAAGAAGGAGTAGGAGCAGGAGGAGGAGCAGCAGGAGGAACAGGAGGAGGAGGAGGAGGAGGAGGAGGACGAGGAGGAGCAGGAGGAGGAGGGGAGGAGGAGGGGGCGAAGGAGCAGGAGGAGGAGGAGGAGGAGGAGGAGGAGGAGATGCAGGAGAGGAGGAGGAGGAGGAGGGGAGGAGGAGGACGAAGTGGAGGAGCAGGAGGAGGGGGAGGAGGAGGTGCAGGAGGAGGAGGAGGAGGAGGAGGAGGAGGAGGAGGAGCAGGAGGAGAAGCAGGGGGAGAAGCAGTAGGAGGAGGAGGAGCATGATGAGAAGCAGGAGGACAAGCTGGAGGAGGAGGAGGAGCAGGAGGAGGAGCAGGAGGAGGAGGAGGAGGTGCAGGAGTAGAAGGAGGAGGAGGAGTAGGAGGAGGAGAGGGAAACGAGGAGGTTCGAGGATCGAGGATGGGCCGTTGCAAGTGTCGGGCTTCCATGATCGAGGATCGAGGATCGAGGATCGGCCGTTCTCTGGGCTTCCTGGGAACCTTCCGGAGACCTCCAGGGGACTTCCCAGGAAGAGGTTGCAGGTGGCGTTGGGCCGTGGGGTGGCTGGATCCGCCGCTCTTTCGGGGGACGTGTCATCGGAGGTCGCCCCAAGCACGCCGCGTTTTACGTAGTTGCGGATGAGAGTAAGGGGGCGGCGAGGACGTCGTCAGTCTGCGAGGCTCTGAAGAAGCCCGCCGCAGGCGTCTATATCTTACATATTATGCAGTGGACCCGCCGCAGGCGCCGATTTCTTTAAAGCAATGTGGGTGGATCGCGGGGTGGGTCGCGGGTGGGTCACGTATGGGTCGCGGATGGGTCGCGGGTGGGTCGCGGGGTGGGTTGCGGGGCGGGTCGCAGGTGGGTCGCGGGGTGGGTCGCGGGGTGGGTCGCGGGGTGGGTCGCGGGTGGGTCGCGGGGTGGGTCGCGGGGTGGGTCACGGGGCGGGTCACGGGCGGGTCACAGGGTGGGTCGCGGGGTGGGTCGCGGGTGGGTCGCGGGGTGGGTCGCGGGGTGGGTCGCAGGGTGGGTCGTGGGGTGGGTCGCGGGGTGGGTCGCGGGTGGGTCGCGGGCGGGTCGGGGGGGGGGGGGACGACGACGACAACAACAGCAACAACAACAACAACAACAACAACAACAACAACAAGCAGAACCTTCCCCGCGGATCCCCACTTCAGCCACGCACCCGGGAACAAAGAATGAGCGTTGGGCCCCTTCACTGATAATGCGATTAAGGGATGGGCGTCTATTCGTCCGCCATCCCCCAGAGGAGAAACCAAGTTCACGGGTGAGCCAGTTTGGGGGCATCTTTTGGTCTTCTTGGGGGTCGCCTCGGGCTTTCTTGGTCGCTTGCTGGCGATCTCAGGGATCCTCTTGGGGCGGAGGGCTCAACATGTCAGTTTTGTGCGTCTGGTCAGAGACGGGCTCCTTTATATATATACATATATATATATACATATATATATATAGTTTTGCAGAGAGTGGGAGCCAAAAGCTGGAACATCTCGGAGGTTTTCCTGCAAGAGACCGCGCCACCACGTCCAGGGCGACCCGATTCGTGTGACTGGCGGGGGGGGGGGGAGTGGTAATCATCTGTTCCAGAGGGTAAGTATAAATCGGGCATGTCCCTCTACAGGAGGAATATTCAACCCTAGTTCAAATATAGTCTGGGGACGATGTTTTGATCTCTTTCGAACATGTTTGTTTTAGTTACGGGCGCAGCCCGTTATTTGATTCTCGCGAGGTAGACAGACAGACAGACAGAGTTGAGCCACTAGGCCGTTAGATGGCTGTTTGATTGCCGCGGGTGAGGATATTTCGGTGGCAGTTTTAAGCCAGCGGGTGAGGAGATTTATGTGGCAGTTTTCAGCCAGCGGGTGAGGATATTCCGGTGGCAGTTTTCAGCCAGCGGGCGAGGATATTTCGGTGGCGGTCTTCAGCCAGCGGGTGAGGATATTTCGGTGGCGGTCTTAAGCCAGCGGGTGAGGATATTTCGGTGGCGGTGTTCAGCCAGCGCGTAAGGATATTTCGGTGGCAGTCTTAAGCCAGCGGGTGAGGATATTTCGGTGGCGATCTTAAGCCAGCGGGTCAGGGTATTTCGGTGGCGGCTTAAGCCAGCGGGCGAGGATATATATCGGTAGCAATTCTAAGCCAGCGGGTGAGGATATGTCGGTGGCAGTTCTAAGTCGGCGGGCGAGGATATTTCGGTGGCAGTTTTAAGCCAGCGGGTGAGGATACTTCGGTGGCAGTTTTCAGCCAGCGGGCGAGGATATTTCGGTGGCAGTTTAAAGCCAGCGGGTGAGGATATTTCGGTGTCGGTCTTAAGCCAGCGGGCGAGGATATGTCGGTAACAATTGTAAGCCAGTGGATGAGGACATTTCGGTGGCAGTTTTAAGCAAGCGGGTGATGATTTTTCCATCAACGATATAAAACGTGCACTGCTGACGAGCAGGCTCCATGGGCAGCCAAGCTGCCTGGGACTGGAGGCCCGGGCAGAAATTTATATGCCGGCTCAACCCGACAACTTCTTGCAAGGCGGGAGGCCTCTGCAAAGCAATTGCGAAACGACGATGCGAGCTTTGGTGAGTGCATGAGGGCCGAACTCATCGACTGGGCACCTGAGCTTCAAGGTGTCTGGGCGATTCTTGGCCCACGCCCCACATTCGGAGCAAAAGTATAGAGAGGTCTTCAACCTGAGAGCGTGAGAACAGTGAACTTGAATTCCTGAGACCCGAGACTCCACTCTGGACGGGGGCGGGTCTAAACCTGGGGCACGCCACGGGGAGTCGTTACGATCTGGAAGAGGCCGAGAAGGCTGCACCCACTTGTGCTGCACACGTTCCGCATCTTCCGCCAGCGCCCCCCCCCCCCCCCCCGCATCCAGACCCCTTCCTTTCACGGGAGAGGCGGGGCGCGCGTGGCGGAGCCCGGCGCGGAGGGAGGGGGCGGCCGCCTGCACCTGCGTGGCGCAGCATGACTGGCAGCTCTACCTGTAGCCATGGTACGACCACCTGCGAGAGGAAGAACAGGTGGCCTCGGCGATCCGCCTCCAACGCCTGAGGGCGAAGTCGACAGGCTGATCCTGACGTCGTCTACCACCCTCAGCGCGCAATTCGTACATCCAAGAATGATAAGGGCATCGCGCTTCACTACCTGGCAAGCTTACGAAACCAATGCGTCGTGATCTCGAACAACGTCAGCTGAAACCTGAACCTCGGCCGCGCGATCGGTGGCCAATGTGCCAGCTGGCGCGCGCAGGATGACGCGGTCTCAAGAAATGGAGTCAG